GTTCTTAATTTTAAAAATGTTATTATCATTTTTAATTTAAATCAATTATCATATATGTTATTAGAATTTTAGTTTTTCTCCATAATAATTTACAAATTTTTGTAACATTAGCCATCCTAAAGAGGTCTTAAATTTATTAATATAATTATAAAAATTTATTATCTGATTTTATAAAAATGTATTAATGATAACTACAACAGTTATGAAAAAAACTTTTTTTTTTTTGTGAAAATTGAGGGCATAGCCCAATTTCATAAATAAAAAGAGAAGTTACAAAGTATAAAGATCAAAAGGAAAATTATAGCAAATGTAACTAAAAAAGATCTAAGGAAAAAAAAAAGGACACTCAGTACGTGCAAAATACCTCCAAAACTGAAAGATTATCAGGGATCAAGAATCTCTGTGAGAGATATTATTACGTGCAGATTCTAGATTAGAGAATTATCCGGATTCGGTGAGTGTGTGTATTAAAAATACAGTTATTGTGCACATTGCGCTTTTACTGTGATCACCTTAAAATTCAGCCGCAGTTCCAATCCGAATTCCGCATGTAATAATCTCTCCCAATTGGCAGCGCGACTGTCCATTAAATAAGTCATGAAGAGATTCAGGTTTGACATGGCAATTGTGAATATTTTTCTAAGATGACTTTACAATCAATTTTATAAATTACTGCTATCAACATAAACATATCCTACGTGATTGAAGAGTTTTAATTTCCTCATTATACTCTGTGATTATAATTTGTGAATAAGTGACAGTATTATTATTTGCATCATATTATAATAAATTTACCATTTGTGATCTGAGTGATAGTATGATTATTAGGGCATGCATATTATAATTATGTAAAGTAATTGGGTTAAAAAAATTCTTGATATAAATTATGTTAAAATAAATTAAAAAATTCTTAAATTTATTTAAAATTAATAGAATATAAATATTTAAAAACAATAAAAAAGTAATGATAAGACAGAAATTATGATTGCAGTAAAAAAAATAGTAAAAGAATTGTCCATATCTAAGTAAATAACTTTTCAGAAAGAAAATTTTATTTTTTCCTAATAATTTTATGCTTATTTTTATAAATAGTTGCAAAAGATCAAAATGAAACACAAATTCAGCAATTACCTTATGTAAATCAGTCTTACTGTGTTTAGACTGCTTCACAGTATTCTAATCCATGATCCCAAAAAAGGGAAAACTGCAATTAAGAGCCTTAGAAACGAACTTTTTATTGCATCAGGTTACCGGATGTAGAGTACATCAGGCTAGCCTGCTTAATATATCGCCACGTGTTCTATACTTTTACCGCGCGGCCCAACGACCCAACCCGAAACGACATGCGCGGTATTTGCTTGGTATGCTCGCGTAATTGCTAGGTACTACTCGGTATTTACTCCGGTACGACTCGGTATTGTGCTCGTTATTTGCTCGGTTATTTGCTCGGTACTTGCTCGGTATTGGTCGTATTTGCTCGGATCGCAGAAGTTACAACATTTTAATCGGAAGCAAACGAGATCCCGCTCGCTATGTGGAGATAACCTTCTCCATTTCTGCGTGCTTCTTTCGGGGGACTCCACTCGTGCGGCTCAACTCGTGGTCCGTTCGACTTTTTCCATCGACTGACTTTCCCTTTCCACCGGAAATACGAAGTTTGATCGGACGGCGTGGCGCCGACGATGGGGTGAGTCAGTGGAGGACGAGAACGGCGCTGAGATCGTCAGTAGCGCGGGGCGAGCGAGAACGGTGCCGTTGCACGACCATGCGGATGAGAGGAGGTAGAATACGGAAAGGATCGGGTGAGGGATTGCAAAGGATCAGTGATTTAGGAGGTTCGAATCAGAAGAAAGAGGAGGAAGGAGAGGGATCGGCCAATACCGAGAGAGGACACAACCAGATACGCGAGCAAAGTACCAATGAGCAAATATACCGAGCAATACGAGCAAATACGAGTAGTACCGAGCAAATGCCGAGTAGTACGAGCAAAAATACCGAGTAGTACCTAGACAATCGAGCAAAATACCGGCATGTTCGTTTCGGTTGGGTCGTCGGGGCCGCCGGTAAAATAAGAACGACGACATATATTAACAGGCTACCTGATGTATCTCTACATCAGGTAACCTGATGCAATAAATATCTTAGAAACAAGAAGGAGATGGATACCTCCCTTCTTGGACAACTTCCCTCATCTCACCGCAGCGATTTGGACGAGCTCTTCAGCTCTATTTGGCTTCCACCTTACTTGTCTTTTCTGCTGATCCAATTCATCCATCCACCAAAACTCGACCACCCTGAATCCTTCCCCCTGAGAATCATTTCTGAGGCCGTTCTCTGCCGCAACCCATGACTGATAAGCTGCCTTCTCTCTCTTACATTTGGAAGTTAATTCACCTTCATTTTTTCAGATTAATATTAGATTTTACGATTTTCTAGAGCTCATTGGTTGCTTTTGCTGGTGAGATTTTTTTTGGGTGAAAAATAATAAAATTTTGTTATAAAAAAATCCTCAAATATAGTATTTTCTAATCTTTTTATGTCTTTGGACAAGTTATTCGAATTGGTGGCATCCATTCATACTTAATGACGACTTCTCTAATTTGTAGCTGAACAGTTTACCCTCTTTGGACACCTCTCTAGCTCGTTCTTCTCCTTGTAGCTGTAACGTTGCCACCTTTTCCCAGTCTTCTTTCCACCGTCGCTTAATTGCTCAGCGGCAGGGGTGAGAAGGCCAGACTTGTTCGACTTGGTGTTGTGGTGCCGCTTTTCTTCTCCAGTGGGAAAACCTGACAGATAATGGCTAGGGATTGAAAGAAACATCTCAAGAGGCTCAATTGCCCCCAAGCAATGGATGCCCTTGATAAGCTTGGTGGTGCTTTTGCTCAAACCATCCTCTGGTCCTCATAAAGCTAGGAGTGTTTGTCTTGATACCTTATATTGAGGAAACAGGCGAAAATGCTCTCACTTATCGCCTGAAGTCATTGTTATTATGAGCAGGACATGTGATGGTTGGACGGCAAAGGTAGAGACAAGATAAGACCTATCCTGCGGTGGTTTATGGATGTTGTCCAAATCCCAAAAAACTAATGAAATGTTTTTGCTTCTTTATGACACTAAGGGGCGTTTTCGTCTACAGCTTCAATTAGGGATTGAAGACGTGGCAAAGTTTCAAGCTCTGCCAAGGTCCGTTTCTGTCCAAATTGGACAGAAAGGCTTCCAATCTTACCTTATGATGCGACAACCAATTCACTACCCTGATCTCTCATCAAGGCTAACGACACCTAAAGGCTTCCACCTCGAGGCTAATAAGATAGTCTACTTCATCAAATTTGATGTCGACAATTTTGTGATGGTTACTCGGTGGAAGGAACAGAGGTCGTGTGAGTGATCAAGGAGCGGGAGAGCATAAGGGAACCTGTTGAGACAATTCACTCCAGGATGCTTCAGGGCACAGACTTGCTACTCGCCTTGCAATTCTGCACTGTTGGAAAGGGCCACAAAAGCCATGGATTTTCCGCTTCCAAGGCAAAGGCCATTAAAGCTAATCCATCATTCAGGAGGCCAGGAAAACGCCTTGCCAGCCTGCCTGCTTCAGCTACACGCCTGATTTCATCGTAAAATGAGGGAGATCATGGCGAATTCAAGCTTCATCATGGGGATCTGAAGAATGTTGGCTGCCAGAAAATTTCATTCCAAGGTCAAACGGTTAGAAGATTGAGAAGACAACAACAGCATCTGCCCCCTGCATAGTATTTATCCGCAAGGTTGAGATCCTCAAGCTCCAAAACTTAGATCTCAAAAAACTCATGGATGTGTCATGGACAGCTCGGAAGACGTTGCAATGAAAGGGGATTGCCCCCAAGTGGTTGCAGCTTCTAATGTTCAAGTGTTGTATTATTATTATTATTATTATTATTAATGTTCAAGTGTTACGTTTTTTTGTTATCCTGATAATGAAGTATTTAAATTTAAATGACGAAAGATTTTATTCGTAGCCAATGTTGTTGGCATGAAACAGAGACAGTTTTTTGTAGTTTTTTTTTTTTCACATTTCCTCATACTTTAGAAAAGTACCAACTTGTCATTTCTATGGGGTGTTAATCAAATCATGGATTATCTTTATGAGTTTATTGTTGGAGGATTTTTTCTGTTTAAAAAAAATAAAAATTGATTTTAAACTTTATCCAAAAACAGTTTGGGATAACAAAGATAAAATCATGGAAGTTAAATATAATAAAATTCAACATCCTAAAGGATTTAAATAAAAATTACAGTTTATTAATATTTTAGATGATTGCATAGAAATTTTTTGCGAGTAAAAATTAACTTTCCCAATGTAGAAAGAAAATATCATTTCATGTTGACAGTAACTAACATAGAAATTATTATTAATACGATTAGATAATTGATTATCAATATTTATTAAAATTTTGTTAGATATTATTTTAATATGATTATAAATTTTTAATTATCAAATAACTACAGTAGAATTATTATTAAAATATTATTAGATATTAATATCAATTATGTTTACTATGATTAGATATCAATTATCAAAATATACTAAAATCTATCTATTAGCTAACACTTTTAATCCTTAAATAAGTACTAAGTACCACATGAAGTTAATTGAATTAACCTCTACGATGCAGACATTTTTCTAGATTAACCACCATTGGGATTAGTATATCCAAATTTAAAAGGATTTAATTAAATCCTACATGAGTTAAACCTAACCGTATCCAAATAGCCCCTAAGATTCAAAATAATATTTCTAGTGCTTCATCTCTCGGTAATGCCTACAATACACGTTGAAGAAATGTTTTTTTGGGCTTTAATTGACTCTAATGTCATTATTTGCCTATTCGTTCTTTGGCTACTAGTTTGCCTGCTAGCCCACATTGTTATTATTGTCTATGATAGTTTCAGTTATTAGGTTGTAGAGAAACAATAGTAAAACTCTTCGCTTCAAAATGAACTATGAAGCATCATTTTTTGCCTTAAAATTAAAAATCCATCAAATAATCAATGCCAATTATACTTTTACCAAGCTATTTCAAAAAGCTCCTTATATGTCTTGGACCCACTATTTTAATGATATCTTTTTAAAATCTCTCTCTGGAAGTCTGGGAATTCTGTGGGTGAACCGTTAAGTCTTATGTATTTGTTATTTTCTATAACTTTGTTGGTGGTTTGTTATTAAGCAAGTCTGGATTTCTGTTGGGTGAACTGTGAAGTCGGTTACAAGCTTCAACATGCCCTTTCAAGCCAAATGTTTCCATTAATCTTTACTGCTCACCAATCCATTGGATTGCGTTCAATGAGTAATTCATCCTGCAAATATTGTTGCACCTGTTTGGCTCTACCTGCCAAAAACCTTCTTTTATGGCTTCAACACTCTCCCTTATGGTAGAGATCTGATATTTTTAGTTTTTTCAGAATATTTTTGAAGTTGTGATGGCAAAGTTTTTGAATGTATTGATGAGTTGATTGTCTTTCCGAACAAAATAAAGTAATGTGTGTATGTCGATTAATGATTTTGTGCGGACGTCGAACACTATCTAGAGGTCAATCAGAATGCGCCACATCACCCTTTCGCTCAGTACCGTGGGTCGGTACTGTTCGGTACCGATCGATATCGCTGCTATGTACTGCTGATGTGGCACATTCTGATTGATTTACGGACAGCATTCTGCATTCGATCTCCACACAATAATTTATCGTGTATACGTGACTTCATGGCCTAGATGGTAACATCATTTCATGGAATCTGGAAGGGATGGGTTATGTTTTGTTGCTGTGGGCTTTACTATTAAGATGTTTACTGTATGGAATGCTTTATGTATATGAGAGAAGTTCTCAAAGGATGAGTACTTGGTTATGGGCTATAGGGGATGTTTAGTATATTTTTTAATACCTTTTTGTATAGCAATTGATCGAGATCATAGCTATAAGAGGTGATAAATTTATCTTACAACTTTGGTTTTGAACATGCAAGAGGGCTTGGATGAGCTCATCTTTCTTATATGGACTTTGCTTAGTTTAATAAACATAGTCTATATGATGCAGGACTACTTAGATGGGATGATTATGCATTCATTTAGACATTGCACAATTCATAGATTAGAATAAATCTAGAAAACAATTACTAGCAATTCTCACGATGATTCAAAACAACTAAGGAAATGCTTTGCTTAGGTGAGATTACATGTTCTGAGCTTTGAAGCTTTCAAAAATAAATAAGAAAATCAAACAACGCAAAATAGTAGGCTTCAAGTTAATCCCTAATCTAACAACGAGATGTAGGATGCATAGAAGGTACGCTCAATTCCTACAAGTGGCTAAGCATAGCAAGAGCACTGGGAGGAGCTTTCGTGAATACAATCAAACCAAGTGAGAATTTAGATTCCAAAGAAATAAGATACAAGTGAGAAAAGAAACCTTCGCCAAAAAGATCTGGAGATCCGTCATGCGTTGCCTTCAACGTCTTCGTCCATGGTCTCCGTCACAATGGAGAAGGTCCTTGAGCATTTGATGCGCCTCTTATGTAGTGACAAGGAGAAGGAAGTTTCTCCTGGTAAAGGATAGGATTGCACGTTCTCAAACCTCTCCTCTTACAATCTGAAAATAGTTTCAGATTATCAATCAAGAAAACCTGAGATGGATTTCTCAGTTTCTAATGGGCTGGATGTAGGGAATGTGGAGGAGAGCTTAGCTTTAGTTGTGACGGAAAAGCTGAGGGCAAGTCTCCTGTACAGATTTTGGAAGAGGATTTATTTCATGCAATCAGAGGAGGGAAGAGGCGGTGACAGGGAGAGGGAGTTGGCGGGCTAGAGAAGGGGTGGGGCCTTGTTTCCTAAGTTAAAACTCAAGCATTAGGAAATAATTAAAACAAGGCAATGAAAGAAAAAAAAAATCGGCCCAGGCAAAAGAAAAAGTTAGATTATTTCCAAAGTAGTCTAGGGTGCAATTAGGAAATATATCCTAACTTGCTCAAATAAGTGGCCGGTGGTATGCATGGTTAAGAGAGACTTTAATTAGAGCAATTAAAGTTTCTTAACTGCAGTTTTGAATTTAGGAAATAGTTATTTTAAATCCAATTGAAATTTAAATTCAATTTAGATCAAAATTAGAAACTTTCCTAAATTAGAAGAGTTGGTTTAGGAAGGATTTCAAAATTCAAAATTCAAAGATTTGAACTTTCAAAATATCCCAAATCCACTCATACCTAATTAGGAAACTCAAGGGGATGAAGAGGTAAGGTGGCCGGCGGGTTGTGAAGGGGTGGTCGGCAGGATGTGGGTAGATGGCCGGCGATCCCGTGAGGGGAGGGGCGCTCGGGTGGGAGAAAATAGTGGAGTTGAACGGGAAAGGTTGGGCTATGGCCGGCGGTGGTGGGATGTGGGAAGGGAGAGATGAACGTGGAAGGGATGAAGACAAAATAAAAGAAATAAAACCACGAACCCGGCCGTCTCCAAGGTTGGTGGGTGATGCGCCAAAATCCCTCTCCAAAGGATCTCTCAAAACTCTCCAAGAACTCTCAATGCTCTCAAACACATATGCAGGAAAATTTTTCAATAATCATTCATTAATCTCAAAATAATACAAAGGGGGCTTTAAATAGCCTCATACAAAAGACTCCAAATAACATGACACAAATGCCCTTAGGCTTACACATGACAACTCCCATAAAAAGGGGTACAACGGGAAATAATAAAACCTACATAAGCAAATAATAAAATGCATGAAAATAAAATACATCGACTCAAAAATATAAAGACTCGATCGTGGCCGTAGATCGGCGGCCACGTCGCTGGTAAACTTTCCATGATCTGATGTCCCCATCAGTTTCTTCTTCTACCTTGGAAAAGCTTGAGAGCTTGTTCCATTTCTCTCTTCTCTCCTTATTTCGTCTTGGGCTTCTAATCTCTTCTTCTCTCCGCAAGTTCCACTCCACTTGTATCCTTCTTCTTGAGCTATTGGAGGTGTTTGTTGGCAGAATTTGGTGACATTTGCCGTAGGAGTTTTGTTGGACATTGGACCTTGTTGCTATGGTGGACCCTTGGTTTGCAAGCCCTAAGCACTTATCTCATTTTACCTAATTTTTGTTGCATGTCAGAAAACCGCTTGCCGATTGTTCTGAGAATAGTCTTTTATTTTAAAAATTTTGTTTTGTTTATTCGATTTTGGTTTGTCTTGGCATTTTGTTCGGATGTAATTTTTCGAAATTGAATAGAGTTATGTTCTACTTGTCCTAGTGTTCTCCTATTTTGGTTCTATTGTCTAGTTTGCCCACATCAAAACTACAGTAAACTTTTTTACATACAACTAGCAAAGCAGCTTGAGAATGCCCTAACTATACTTGTGGCATTGCGGCATTACAGAATTAATATTCTTCTATTAGATAAATCTATTGGATTTAATTTTGCTTTTGTACAATAGTTATATTTCTTGTTATATTCTATTGAAAAGCCATTGCTATGCTTCCACCCCAAACCTATCCCATCTACTCACACAACCAAACACCAACATAATGACAAGCTTGGTTGAGGCGTTACACCTTGGATAACCAACTACGCAAAATAAATAAAGAACCTGAGTCATGTAACAAAAGAGGAAAACTTACAATCTCAAGATCTTTTCTCAATGATGCTTCCTTGTCCAATTTCTCTTTATAGTCATCTTCAACTTGACTGAGATGTGTCTGCAAGTCCCAAAAACCACGGTGAACTACTGCATATAAATTAGTTTAAGTACTTATGAGTGCTAGCCAAAGCTCAACTCCAAACCTCAAGTGCTTTGATGACACCGTCGAGCTCACCAGCCTTTTTGGACCATTCCTCCGAACTTGCTTTGTATAATTCAACAAGCTTATTAACCTTTCAATGTTTCCATAAAGGAAATAAAAAAAGCAACACATAGATAAGAAGAGAAATTAAATAAAATATAGATACAACAATAAATAATCAATATGAGAACATCCAGCACTTTAGCAAATTGAAAATGATAACGAAATCTGCCCGTTCAGTGACAGTGATGTGAAGAATGGAGATAACGTTAACTCATTTAAACCGTTTACCTTCCAATTCACTTAAGAAAATAAAATGCTTTTTAAGGTTCCTGCTCTTGAAGTGTATATCTAAATATTAGAAAGATTGTTATTTAGAAGAATTGCAAGAACTAAGAAAATGCCTTAATAACTCAAACCAATATTGATGAAGTATCATTAGAAAATGGAAGCAACAAAACAAAATCCAAACCAAAAAAGCTCAGCAATCATTCCATACAAAAAAAAAAGCATAAGCACTTCTTCATAGAGAAAAAATTTTATTGGTAACCCCAGAAAAAGATCGAAGAGTAAAAAACTGAGGCAAACCACAAAAATGATATATTCACACATTCATATACTATACAAAAACACACATTCATGAACTAAGAAAAAAGTTTATTGGTAACCAAGTTAAAATATTTGTTTGTTATACTTGTATAATAATTGATAAGTATACATAAATTATTGAAAAAAACTTACATTCCTCATATATTTCCAAAAGCGCAAAGATAAGAGAATTTTAAACTTTAAAAATTTTAATACATTTATTTACATATTACACTCTTGTAAATATGAGAAAACTTTTACATTTTATATTTTTATTTTGATCAAGCATAATTTTTTTATCGAATTAAAAATTTTACTTTTTATTTCAATTACGTGGTTAGTATTTATCATTTGGAATCCTGGAATCAAATTCATATAATGCATGCATTTATCAATGTTAATTTCATACCCATCGCATATTTTACTAAGAGAGCAACACACGGCATACTTTTTTCCTTAAAATCAATTTAATCAGACTGACATTGATGACCGACCAACTCAGTTGATATTTTACAGACAACTCTATTATATGCAAAACAGAAGACCAGTTTAGTTGTATCCTCATAACAAAGTAGTCATACAATATTATTGACCAAATAAACTACGCAAAATAAAAATCCATACCCAGTAGTCGTGGTCGTAAACTCACATGAACAAATAAAATTTCACTTACAGTTGAAAGTTCAGCATTAAAGTGCTCTTCATGAGTAGCAGAAATATCCTTAGATGAACGCAAGTCCTGCAATTCAGCAATTAACCATCAATATTATGCATTTAGGAGGGCAAATGACAATATTTCTATGATACCTCTTCCAACGATTTGACTCTTAGCTCGAGGTCCTTTGCTCTTTCCTTACTGTGGTTAAGTGAAATGGAGTATTCCTTGACCTGCCTCTCTAGCTGAAATGCAAAATGATTTAAATAACAAAAAAAAAACTGAATGGATAAATAAGAAGATATGTTAAGAGTTTATATAATATTAAACTTCAATGCTTACATCAGCAATTTTGCTAGACGCATCTGATTCAGCATCCATTTGTGTTCTACGCAACTCAAAAAGGCTGTTAGCTTTTCTCGTTAGCTCCTCATCAAGCCACACATTTTGTTTCTCAAGTAGCTCTTTTTCCTACATACGAAAAAATACTAGGTAAACTTGACAGCTTCAAATTCTAAAAACATGGGCGAGATCCATAGGTAGGATAGGTCGCTTAGGCATGCATACCTATAAATCTAAAAGCTGAGATGGCTAGATATGCAAGAGCATGAAAGTAGACTCATGGAAAACGGAAAGAAAAAAAAAGCATCATTAATTTAAGCATGCAAGTGAGGTAGTCGATTGGCAAGCATGAAAATAAAGTGCACATATCCAAAAACAGAGAAAAACAGTATCAAACAATCAATATAACCATGTAGCCAACATACACTGCCTCAGCATGATCAGATATCATATAAACATGAAAACAAGACATGAACAGCTGTTCCAAGTTTGCGTTTGCAGAATGATTGTTCCAAGCCGGAAGTTTGTCTTTGAGCTGAACGGCTTGCTTTGTGCAAACAGTTTTCCTTCTTTACATAGGGATTCAATTCTTTCATTTCATTTGTAACGGTGTCAAGCGCCACACTCTTGTAACAGCACCTTTCACTTATAACCACACCCCTTCCATGTAACCACCTCCACCCCCATCAATCTTTTTGGTAGAAGATATCTTTCTTCAAGTTCTTCTTGAATTCATAGATCAGAGTTAGAAAAGGTTACGTTGAAGTTATGGATATAGCAGTTGCTTCCTGGCTCTCTTATGTTGCTTCCCTCTATATCTATTTGCATGATTAGGTCCAACTTCCTAGGCATCAAATCACACGTAGTTAGGCATGCCAACAAATCAAAAAAGCTTAGTTGAACATATTAAGCTTACGTGAATGGATCCATTTGGAATCATATCACATCAAAAAGAATCATTTCCATTGTCCAGACTCCCAAATTGTTGGATGGCTCCATCAGCTGGCATTATTCCAAGAATGTCAAATAGTTTTGGACCAAAATAATCCTAATCTTGCCCATAAAAACTCTAATCAAGGAAGTCCAAGAGTAATGCTAACATAACGAAGAGGATTATCAAATGAGTTGGTAAGTCAGCCGCTCTACTAAAACAATAAATATAAATAATGAAAAAGAAGAGAGAAAAGAGAGTAAATAAGATGAAAGTTTGCTGTACTTTTATTGCTTGGTGTTTGTACAAAGATTAGTGAATTATATAGACATGTCCAATAGTCTTAAATTTGAAAATTAACCAAAGCTATTTACACAAAATACTTAAAAAAGAAGATGAGGAGGCGAGAGGTCATTGCTATTGCGGCACATATATTGCAATATGAGGACAGGGCTCCAAAACAGGTAATCCATAGGACAAAAATCCTTTTAATCAGTGTGCTCTATAATCCTTATCTTCATTGGTAGGTGTGCGCATCCTAAGCATATAAAGGAGGTAGTAGGGTAAACTCCATGACGATGAACAGCATAAGTTTTCCAAGATCTTTGATGTTAAATGTGGCGTCAAGCTTTCTTCAACATGTTGATTTCAACAAAATCAACTCAAGTTATGATCATGTCATCAACATAAACAATATGCATTGCTTTTTTACCTACTTGAAGAATAGTGTGGTCAGCTTGACTTTATTGAAAATCATATCTCCTGAAAATTTGTCAAAATTTTCAAACCATACTCTAAGAGACTGTTTGAAACCATGTAATATTTTCTTTTACCTACATACCTCCTTTCCCAAATTGTCTTTAAATCTAAGAGAAGATTCATGCATACTACTTCTTGCAGATATCCATTAAGGAATGTGTTCTTAATATCAAACTAATAAAGGAGCCAATTAAAATTAACTACAAGAGAGAAGTATTTAGATAAACTAAATTTTGGAAAAAGACGCAAATGTCTCTTTGGTGATCAATATCATGGGTCTAAGTGATTCATTTTACTACAAGTCTTGCTCCACACTCCCATCAATTTTGTATTTCATCATAAATACCCATTTGCATCCAACAGTCTTCTTGTCTTTGGTCAGATCAACAACACTCCAACTTTTGTTCACACTTAAAGCATACATTTCTTCTATAATTGATAATTTCCAATTTGGAACACCTAATGCTTCGATCCTTAGAATAAACAGATTAGAGATATAAGATCCAAAGGCTTTATGACTTCTTGAAAAGTTTTCATATGGTAGCCTGGTAGGTATTTTTTCATGGGATGTTTGGTGCAAGCACAGGTTTCTTTTCTAAATGCAATAGGAGTTTCAAGATAGGTAAAATAAGTGTGGAAGAAATAGGTGTTAAAGGAAAATTACCCTGAGGAGGGGAATCATACCTTGGAGAATCACATTGGACATCTGCTTAAGAAACATTTGGACTTTGGAGCAGTAGTACTTTTGGAGAACATTTTTTCTTACAGAAAAGTAAAAGCTCTGGTTGAGGGTGATAATCCATATGCAATATGATCTACTCCAATTTTTGATAAAGCAATATCTAGCATAGATGTGCTTGGAGTATCTTTACTAGTTTCCCTACTCTTATTTATGTCGGAATTAATTAAAGGAATTGTTAAAATTTTCCAAAAATTATCTTCCTTGACTATATTCTCCCACTGAAAAAAAAAATCAAATAAATGTGATCCTCGACAAAGCTTACATTATTCTTAAAAATAGGAATCAACACACTCAATCTTCACTCATCTGGCATCTTTTTAGTTTTCAAAATAATATTAAAAATTTTAGTAAACCAATAAATTCCTTCATCTCCAAAAAATTTCTAATCATTTCCACACCTCGTGTGCATACACACCTTTATTGTAAGCTAATCCTACAAAAATATTGCTTGAAAATTTTGATTATGCCGATTAGACTAAATAAAAGGATGATAAAATTATAACAAATAATGACAGTTTTTAAAGATGTTCAAAGTTAGGATAAACCAATGTGGATCCTGACCCTCAAGGTGAAATTAAATTTCAAGTGCGCACATATCTTGAATCTTGATTCTAACTTTCATTTTACATTAACAAATAATATTGGGATATGAATAAGCACAAAACTAAAAAAGGCCATCTAAAAAAAAATTGCTTGCACAAATAGCTACAAATGGGGAATCCATTAGAATACCAACGTCTGCCACAAAATCTTTCACGTCATACTAGAAAATCTCTAGCAAACTATTTAAGGATTTAAACCATCCAAAACAATACATCGAGCCTACCCAAGTCGAAAGTCCTACCTTGACTTATTAATGTGATGCACATCGCAAGATTCCTGATCAAATCCATTCTCAACAAGGACAACCAATATAGGTGCCATGATTGTCCCAATGACGATCTATTGATCCTACCAAAATGATCAGGGAAAATGTTTTTTCAACATTTGGCACTCTACATGGACCCGATGCTAACATTGATTAGGAATGTGAAATCAACAAATCCTTTGCTTGGCATATTATTAGTAGCATGCAATGGATATTGCATATATCCTCATCACTCTAGGCTTTATAACATGAATATTATACACCATGGGCGGAAAACATCAATTTAAGTTCAATGGCATCTCTACTTATTCATTTCATGCTATGAGCATCAAGTCCTCATCTAAGCAATCACACAATCCTAAATCAGATACAAAGAATACACCAAGTCAAGCACTTCATTATAGACTACATATTTTTCCTGCCATTCAACCAACTACTAAGAGATGATATGTAGCTTTGAGTAGAACCCAATATACTAAGGTTACAATTTTTGTTACTTCTACGTCTGTCAAACCATCTACATATTTAGCATAGGCTTCCAAAACTTTGAACATACAATATTTCATTTCTAGCTTGCTATTTTGTGGTCAAAATGTCTTCCAAAAGGCTAATGTTGAGTCTCCCAAATTATTTTTACTAGTCACACAAGATTTACCTCCAATTTATGATGAGTGTGATAGGATTAAAGCATCTATATAACCTTTTAAAATAGAACATAACCTAGAAAGATGCATTTTAAACATTAGGATCACGGTTTGACCTAAAGGTATTTCGCATGCAAATATAACAAATGCAACCCAAAACTTCAATGGAAAAATCAACAGTGATTCTGGATGAAAGGAAAAAAAAATTTAAGTATTAGCAAAGGTGTTTCAAATTCAAATCTCTTAAAGGCATTCTATTAATTAAATAACAACCAATTAAGCGAGTATTTCTCCATAACATTTTGGAGCATTCATTGAAAACATAATGGCCCGAGCAGCTTCTAGTAAGTGCAATTTTTTTCTTTCAGCTATGTCATTTTATTATAGAGTATCACATCAAGTTTATTAAGAGAAGGACCATTTTTTCTAAAATGATTGCTCCAAGCAATTAGTCCAAATACATAATTTCGTTGTCAGTCCTTAGAATGTAAATTTTATATTGAAATTGATTTTCGATCAAATGAAAGAAAGAAGAAAAAGAAATCTTTAAATTTTTGCTCGACCTAAGATTTTGTATTCATTAAGTAAACCCAACATAATTTGAAGTGATCTACAAATCATTTTTTCCATAAACTATTTAATCTTATGAGGGTCCCAAACATCATTATGGAAAAAAAATAAAATGGTTTTAAGGCAGAGTAAGAATTTATTGGAAAAAACACATGATGATCTTTAGTTAAGTGACATGACTCCTAATAATTTTAGAACAATCAATTCTTTTAAATAATTCAATAAAAAAAATATTTGAGATCAGGAAAATTTAGATGTCTTAATCTTCTATGCCATAATATAGATTGATCATTAACATAAATTGAACTAGTACCATGTAATTCACCAGCTTCTTTATTCCAGGAAGACTTCTCATCAAAGTACTATAATCCATTTATTTATCTAGCAATTCCAATCGTCAATGCCAAAAGTTCTAGTCCAGAAAAGCACAAATGGAAGATAGAAAAATATTAAGCAATTACTATCTTTAAAAAGTTTGCTAAAAGGGACATTACAGGCAAGATTTTGGCGTGCATAAAATATTGTTTAAGGTATTCAAGGTAATATTTTCTAAGATTTTAATCTATCTTTTACCGACAATAGATGAAAACCTTTCTTCAACACTATTAATTTTTT